AGCATTTTAATCAGATTTCTAGAATTGTTTTGAGTATGCAGTTTTCTTGCCCATTAAATTTTAGTATAACAAAGTGCAAATTTGAAGTACATAGTTTCGACTTACCGTTGATTTTTGGCAACTTTTTGATAGCGCATTCTCATTCATACAAAGTATGTTCAAAAAATTTTTTGCATGGAGAAAATGGGCAAACCTTCCACACAAGAAATTTACCAAAAATCAACGGTGAGTGCTAAGAATTCTTAAACATTTTTTTTTTTTTTTAATTTATTTCGTTTTTATAATTTGCCCTTATAGGAATTCGCCCAGGTTTTAAAACCTGTTGTAGTCACCTAATATTTTATAAAATTTTTAGACCTATTTTGTACCGGTTTTAATTATGACAAGTCTTAGTTATGATGTCTCAATTTAAATTAGTGGTGACATACCATAAAGCCATAGCCACAACTAATGCCATAACCGTAACCACATTAACTATAATCGATTATAGGTATCATAACCATAAACAACTGATTTTTCGTTGTTGTTGTTGTTGTAGCGGCTATAACAACCCCGCCTAGATCGGTTGATATCTCAGTCGTTGTCGTCAAGTTTCACTAAGCGTGCAGCCTCAATAGGGCAACAGGGCCACAGGGATAAAGGCGTTAGGGTTGTCGGGTTTTCCGGGTATCTCTTGTTGTCGTTGTCAACAATGTCGGTGTTGCCAGGCTTGGAACAAGACTCGGGAAAATGTGAATTATCGTAGGATATTTGTGCAGAACTAAATTCTTAAAACTCAACAGCAGATCATAATAAAATATGTACATCATATAAAAGGTAATATTTGGTACTTTGTTAATAATATAAATTTCTCTTGCATTAATTATGAAATTTGGTTAAAAAAGTTATTTTATGAAAAAATTCGAAATTTTTATTCGTTTTTTAGTGTCTTTGGATTGAAAATATAAAGAAGCATATATATTATGTATACAAGCTGAAAGATAAATTAATTATGTTTATTTTGACATAATTTGTTTTTGATTAGGATATGTAGTTCATTAATATCAAAAAAAAAAAAATTAACAAATTTTAATTTAACCTTTATATTCTTGCGCCAAATAATTTTGGTACAGTACATATTTTTTGTTTTTGCATAGCTAAATGTGTCATAATATTCTAGACTTATGCCAAAATGTTGGCTGTGAACAGTATTTTTCTTTTTAAACGTCTGGCTCGCGCTTCAGTTATCAGCTGATTATGGTTATGGCGGAAAACCAAAATTCAATTGGTCTCTATGGCTATGGTTATGGCTATGGCGTTATAGTGTAGCACCACTAACTTGGCGTTTACATTTTGCGAAGACAATAACAATACATTCACACTTTCTATAAATATATTCACACTTCTCTCATTGCCTTCGTCACTGTCTTTAATTTTTCGTGAAGATAGTTAATCGGACAGTAAATTGGACAATTCGGTCACGTTTTGGTTAATTTGAGAAAAAGAAGCACGATAAAATCGCAAAAAATCGCAGAATTATGAAAAAGTGGTTTGCCTTTGCATATTTTAGTAAATAATGTGAAATTCACGCCAAACGACATTAACGGCGGTTGCTGAAAAATGTATTGTCATTATAATTGTCTGGATGCCTACTTTACACCACAATTTGACAACTAATACATATTCCCAATTGTCTTGTCTCAAACTGTCTTATGTAAACGCAGCGTAATCGAATATTGTGGAGGCCATAAGGTAACCTTATTAAGGTTGGTTGGAACAGCTGTTTTATATGGTTATGGTTATGTCACCAGTAATTTAACCTTTAAAGATTATTTTTCCCTTGTTTATTATCTACTCGTGTACGACCTTCGCAGACCAGTATTGCGCTTACCACAGTTTAAGAAACGCTGCTTTAAATCATATGTCTGTCTATGTAAATAACCCTTCATTATAGTCGTTTGATATTTTTTAATTGTGTGAAACTCGCACAGCTGTTGACCTACTAAGTATTAGGCTGTCTTCCGAAGGAATTAACTTTCCTTTTTTACGCTTGATGGAGCGCTGAAGTGGACTATTTGTATGCACTTTTTACACAGTTTAAGTACGTATAAATACATTTTGCGCATTTACTAAAAGACTGTCACAATTCAAAAAAATAAATGTTTCATGAGACGCTTTTAAAGTTTTGAATTAGTTCCCAAAATGTAGGAAAAAAGATGCATATTATTGGCATTTAAATACTTTTATACTTACGTTATTGTTTAGCTTCTTCCAATTGAAGCACAGGCCAAACAAAGCCTTGAAAAACCGCTACAACTCGATAGCTGCTGATGATGCGTCATTTGCAAGTATGTAAAATCAATAACATTTTTTTTTGTAAGTATGTACGTATTTATATTATTTTATCAGTTTATTTAGATCTATATAGTGTTTTAATATAAATTTTTAAATTTTTTTTCACATTTCATTATCGTTTAATCAGTTATTTCTTATTATACAAAGAGTAATAAAAAATAATAAAAATGTATGCATATACATATACATATTTAGCGTGTAATTAAAGTCGTAATGCGATTTAAATTTACATAGGCACATACATATGTATATGCAGATAATTAGGTAGGTATGGTAGATAGGTAGGTAGGATAAATATCAAAGAGCGTATATAATCTACATATGCACTATTTTTATTTTTTCTAATTTGCATTTTAGTCTGCGAGATTTTCTTATTTGAACTAGTACATATTTATATATAATTAAAAAAAAACAAAAAAACAGCCGCCACTAATACAAATATTGAAAGAAAACCTGCACAGTAATTTTAATTATGCTGCTACATATACATTTTGTTTGTGGCATGTTTCGTTTTTTTGTTTGTTTAATTTCAACACCAATTCAAAAACTTCACAACATTTCAATCCCTTCACATACAAGCACTTTATGTGTAAGTAAAATGTACAAACATCAGCAATTCGTAGATTACATAAGTATACTGCATCTCTTAGGGCCAAATTCACAGTGCGTAGTTCACTCAGAATGGGCAGTACAAAAGAGGCCGAAATTATGCTAAAATATTTAATCTTAACACGCAATCACGCTTAACTAATGTCGCCTATACACACATATGTATGTATGTATGTAGTTGCATAACTGCTAACGACTATTGGCTAAAACTATGCAAACTGTACTATTGAGTTTTACAAATACGCAGATGTAATTATTTAAATATAGTATGTACTATGTAATAAAATATAGACTAATACCGCATATGTTTTATTTTACATATTCAAGGAGTTTTTACTATTTCTTTTTTGTTTTGTAATTTTAACTTTTATTAAATAGTAGCAATTATTTTAGGTATACATACATATAAAAAGAAGCAAACTTATGCATAAACAATGTGTGTAAGTTCCTTTCCTTTCCTTTTTTTTCTACTTTTAATACATGTGCAACTACATTATTCTTTCCTATTAGTTTGTATTTTTAAATGGCGCTTATCTTTTTGTGTGAGTGTGCGCGCGTGTTTTTGTTGAGCAAACGCTGACTTAAAAAAAACTTAATATGTATTGTGTGTGTGGTGCCGATATACTAAATATCAACGCAAAAAGGTTTATCTAGCAATTTTGAAATTTTATAGGAGAATCAAACAAGCTTTTAAAGGAATATCAAAGCTAAAAATTACCATGAATATCATTTTATAGGTTTTTTTTTCGAATAAGTATCTTTGAACTTTCGTATATGGGGATGTATCTAAGCATGACCTAATTGAAAATTAAAAAAAAATATGGATTCCCACACTTTAATGATTATTTTTATTTTTTTCTCCCAAGTAAAAAGTTATAATTCTCCATTTAAAAGAAGAAGAAAACTTCTCTTTCATATGTGAAGCCTTGAGAACCAGAGTAGCCCCCATCTACTAAAAACGGGCAGCAGTAGACTCCAGGAAATTTAAGGGGTTTTAAATAAATAGTGGAAATATGAGAAAAAAATGAGAAGCTGTGCATTAGTGGAATAAATGAGTTTAGAGTGGCGGGAAAATAAATAGGGACGTGACATAACAAGTTGTAACTATTTTTATTTTGTTTATTTAATGAAAAGTATATACCAAATCTACAAATTTTCAACAAAAATTTCAATCAGAGTTTTTAGAAAAAAATTGGTAGGCAGTTTTATAGCCGATCAAATTTTAGTATAATATAGTGCAAGTTTGAAGTAGCTGGGATTCGCAGTTGGTTTTTGGCAATTTATTTTGCTAACGGTGTCACGCACTTTTTTCCGTACAAAGTATGTTCGAAATTTTTTTTATATGGAGGAAAATGCAAAATACCGTTTTTCAAACTTCTACTTTATTGTACTAAAATTAAATGGGCTACGAAACTGTTTAACTACATTTCGCTTTTAATTCCGAATAAAAAGATTGAAATTGGATGATCATTTGTTGAAAATTAATTTTTGGATTTGTTGAAATTTTCATTGAATTTTTATAAATCTTGTACAAAGTTTGAAATTTTAACTTACATGGTTAGATAATGAGCTATACTTTCATAAAAAATCTATAAACATTAAATAAACAAAACATATTAAAATTTCGCTTTTCGCCTGAAAAGTATCGATGAGACGTTATTTGTTCCAATAAATTTTTCAAATCAAAGATGCATCTTTTCAAAGACAAAGTTTTTTAAATTAAAAAAAAAAAAATATGCGTTCAGTTAAAAAAAAAAACAATGATGCAGAGCTTTAATTTTTTTATTATCTCAATCATTTACTGCATTTGCTCATCTTTCAAAAGCACTGAAGGAAAAAATATTTTTTTTTACTTCAAAAACAAAGCTGAATTGGTGAACAACTAAGAGGAAAGCTGGAATTGTTTGAGCAAAAAATATATAAACGCAAAAAATAAAGCGCATGAACGGTAATAGTTTGAAATTTCTGAGCAAAATTTTATGAAAGCTATCAGTTCTATTCACACATTTTCAAATTAAAAAATACATATAATTGCATTTTAAAAATAGCGGCCAAGAAATAGTTTTGTTTTTATAGTATGTATACATGAAGTAAAGTATATTTAAAATTGTAGAAAACTAAATATATTAAGAAAAGTGTTACGTTAGATATTTGAAAGAGGTGCTTATGTATGCACTGCAACCTATGAATTTATTGTGCCCGAAGTCAAAAGAGTTAGTTATTTAAAACCTGGATAGGAAATCCAAAAATTAACACTTCATCAACAAAAATTCCAAACTCGAGATAAGCTATTTTGTCAGAAGGTCACAACATAACGTATATGCGTAACGTATGTATCTGTGAATTTTCACCACACGCGCACTCACTTTAGTCCATTCAAAAGGTGTATCGATTTTTAAGGCTAATTGCTGGATTACTACTAGATACTATTACAATATAATATTACATACATATTTTAACATTTTCTAATGCCACTAACAGCAGATAAAAAATAACAAAATTTTGTATAACCTAATTGCTGCTACACACATATGTACACATCAGCACTGGCAAGTATGTATTGCTGCCATTGCTCCAGCTGCTGCCGTGACATCTTTCTTGTGTGTAACATCCGTAACTGCTTCCGTTTCCAATATTTTCATGTGCATATGTAAGTGTGTGCTTGCGTGTTTATGTATGATGTATGTTTAGGTGTGCCTCCTGCTTACAAGCGCCATTTGTATGTACTTCATTTAACAACCAATGATTCTTTTAAATGTCGCATCAGTCCAGCACCGATGTCTTGTACATCAGGCCATTGTCGTATCACAAATATTATGAAGAATATGAACAAGAATGTCGTCAGTACGCGCACTCTAAAAGCATATGATATAAATCGATAAAATCATGATTAAAAATATTAAACCCAATAGCAGCTATACTGGATAGATAAATTTGTTTTGTTAGCTTAATTTAATCTAATATTCAAATGTTTACATAAATAAATATGTATAAGTGTTAATAAAACAAATTTGTATTAAAATCAAAAATTACTTAACATTTTTACATTCTTTCACTCACCTTGTCTTCAGGAACGGCATTATAATACCCGCCGCCGTCGCCACCAATAGCAACACCACCTGTAACACCGTTAAAACGACATTTATGAGCTTGACGACGAGCGCACGTGCATTTGAATTGTCTATACCCTCGACGGTCACGTATTGCTGTTGTGATAAATGTTCCATTTTGGAAATCTAGATTTGAGGGGAAAAGGTATAAATTAACAAATTAGACAAATTGAAAAATTAAGTGCGTGTATTACGGTTGCTAGGGACAAAAAGTATCACATTTTCAAAAGAAGCATTCAATTCTATATACATACATATGTACACTGCACTATGGGGAATTTTCCATTTTCTTTGGGAAAAATCAATTATGGCTAAACACGTAGACGATTAAAAAAATATATGATTTGTTGTTGATGGGCATATGTTTTTCCATAGTTTTGCAAAAAAAAGAAATATCTTAACCCTTCACGACAGAGAAGTCCAAAGTGGACATTTTTTAATTTGTGGTTTTACTAAAAAATTCTTTATGCAGTTTTTTTTTTAATATTCGTATGAAAAAACACCAACTCTACCACACCAACTCCAGTTACACAACATTGCCAAATTATATAATTTTCAATTGAAAACCTTAAATGTTTGAATATCCTAATTTGCCTACGGAAAACATAAAAGGGGCAACCTTTGCAGCAACCAAATTGTAAACGGCCTTTTGTTTCTTCTCTTTATTGAATTCTCCCCTCAAAACCGTCAAAAATTTATTCTTCCTTCTATTTTGTTTTAATTTTTAGGATTAGTTTCTTTACACTCACCCGCGTTTGGCAATTTTCCAGTACTTCATTGACGTCGCGCAGACGCTCATCACTTTGATATTGCACCTTTTCCTCCATATCGGCAATTGTTTGTTTTAAATTTTCAATTTCATTCTATGTAGAGCAGGCGAGCAACGAAAAAGATATTACATTTAATAAACCAAGCACATTTTCATCTCCCACTTTTACAAACCTGATGCAGTTCGGTTAAATCATTTATTTGCTCTTCTAAGCTTTCGGCGCGGTAACGTTCACCTTCCAGTGTTGCAGTTAAGTTGTTAAATTCCTTTTGTGCAGTCTGTGAGAAAATTAAAAAAAAAAATTAGGTGTGAAGGATAAAAAGATGCACTGTTCGAAAAATAGCTGCAGAAGGGAGCAGTGAACTTTTTCACAGATGCGTGAAACTTGATGTAAAGATTGACGGAGTTTGTTTCTCCGCCAGCAAATCTCCATTAACATCTACATAATTTAAGCTTCTAGAACGCTGTAGTGTTTTTCCAACGGTAATGGCTGGCATTAAGAAAGCTGTAGAAATACAACTGAAGGGTGTGACATCCATAAGGAAAGTAAGCATCTACCTTGGCAGCAATGTAGCAATCAGGGCTCTGAACTAGCTCATTGTGCGCTCGAAATTGGTCAGCGAATGCCTGACTATTCTTTCAGTTGGTCGAAATATTTTCGAAATAGACTTAAGTATATGGGTACCAGGCCACAGTGACATTGCACAGTAATAGTACCCTTGTACCCACGCCCCCACCCCACCGTCTCTTTCACCATCGTCCATATAGGAAAGCCAGCCCATTTTTTGTTTAATGTGGTTGATAGTCCAAAATTTCCTGCCTTTTTATTAAAGCAAAGTCCCGATTGTATTTTTGCTGCTTAATTTTACAACGCTTTTATCAACTTGCAATGTTGTGGCTCCAGAAACTTTCAATGTTGTGGATCCAGAAACTTTCAATGTTGTGTGTCCGGCACCATAAAACCTTTGCTTTGCAAAGTTCCTATAAAAAAGTCTAGTGCATAGGGCGACATCTGTAGTGAATAGGGCGAGGTAGATGACATCTAGATGTCGCCCTATGTACTACGTTCGCTACAGCGGAAATAGACGACACGCCATTTCTTTAAATAAAATTAATTGGTGCTCGTTTGTATGTACATACATATGTAAATGCATGTGTGTGCACCTTTCTATTAATATCGTTGAATTATTTTAATATCTATTGCAAAATTTTATTCAGACAGGACTAAAAAGTAGAAAATAAATAANATGGGACTGAGAAATATTATTTTCTACTTTTTAGTCCATTTATAAAAGCGTTGTATATTAAAAAGTTTTTTTTTTATATTATTTATTTTAAATATCTATACCAACGGTTATTTAATCCAATTGTAAAAAAAATAAATAGTCAAATGATAGGTAAATTGAAGGAGTTTGGCAGGATAGCTTAAATGCATCCCTAGAGATTCATATCTGGCCAAGGACTATCATTCCAGCATCATTCCCCAAAAACTCTTTGGGGAAATTTTGCGATGTTAAAACAACAACAATCATGTGAGTCAGAGCACAGCGAAATTGCAAAACAACAATCTGGCATGACCATATTATTTCTTTTGCTGAGTAATGGCGAAGTTCGCCAAGTTGGGCGGAGCCGTCGTTCAGCGTTCGCCCTGCTATTTCGCCTACTTTAACAGAATTAGAGCGGTAGCGAAAACAGCTGATACCATTTCGTCGCACTTATAAGTTAGGTTACCATATTTTGAAAAACGAAACCATATATAGAAATGATGAAATGATAACAAATATAAATATAAGGCAAGGGGGAATTATTATAAATTATTTAATTTTAAGCCAGATTTAACGAATCGATGATCACTGTATTTTTCAACCATCAAAAATAACTCGTGTTACATGCGGGTTTCTTCTAAATCTTTGAAAGTAAAAAAAAAACATACGGCCACCTTTGGCATGTACTGCCGCCATCGCCCAGCAGAGCGATAGAAATAAATCTATGGCCACGAAACGCCGCCGGGCGAACTTCGTCTTTCGCTGTGGCTGTGTTCAATTTCATATCCCGGCGAGTGTTCTAATTTTGACAGCGGTAATTTCGCTGTGGTGAGTTCGCCGCTCGCCGGCATTGTGTTTCCACGGTAAATTTTCTGTAATTCCGTTATTTATGTAGTGAATAAATCGAAAAAAGACTGACATTAATTAATTTACAGCTACTCAACTCACCTCTAATCGTTCAACACGCTCTTTCAGCTTTTCGATTTCATCTTTACGTTCAGCCAATTCGGTTAAGAGCGATTTGAGCACAAGATGATATTGACTCGCGCCCGATTGACTCTTGCCAGAGCTGCAAATATGCAAACCAGAATTTTTCGAAATGTTATAACTTTTGCACAAAGTTGGAAATTAGGTTTACAAATATGGTTTTGTCGTTTACAAATATGAAACAAACAAAATAAGTGAAAATGTTGCACTTCTATTATTTTGTGGACAACTATGCCCACTTGGAAAATAGGTAAACACCTCACGAGGTAAGCCATGTTTTCTTTAAGTTTTTAGTACCAAAATTGTCATCATGACCAATGTCATCTACTAGTAAAGCACAAAATGAACACCTCCGACATACCTCGTAAGGTGCTTACCCATTTTCCTAGTGGGTAGGTGCACATAAGTATATGCTCATATGAGTGCATATGGTGTACTTACCCTGCTGGTATACTCTCGCTAGTAACGCTACTGCATTCGCTGCCATTCTCGCTATTAAATTTGCCGCTACCCGCGCCACCCGTAGTACCCGAACCGGTGGAGGTGGCTGCAATGTTATTATTCGGCGTCGAACTGGCAATCAGTTCAGCATTGACGGGCATGTTAATGTTGTTGATTTCCGTTTCTAAACACAAAAAAAAAAAAAATTAATAAAAATATTAATACATACGAATGTGTTTAAATATATATGTATTTGTATTTGTACTCGAATTATAAAAGTAGAGCAAATAAAAAATCATATGCGCCTAAAAGTAGACTCGCTTATATGCAATACTTTCATACTCACCTGACATTTGGTTAATGTTGTCAGCGCTACCGAATTTATTCTTAATTAAATGTGCGAATTCGCGCGGCTTGGACATCACCGAACCGGAAAAGCCGGTAATGCCGTCGCGTATATTGCCACCGACATTTCTGCGCAGCGATTGTTAGTGAGGCAGTGGATGAAGGCGGATATTGTATATGAAATTAAAAATTGTTTAAAAATTGACGAGTTTTGTTTTCCTCAAAGCCCTTACCTAAGTCCCTGGCCCACATCGCGCAACACTTCACGCGGCTGCCGATGTTGACTCTTATTCGCAAATTGATGATTCGACAAGTCTTTCGCACGTTTGGTATAATTGTCTAGCTTCTTCTGCAGCTGCGAAATGCTGTGTGCGCTTTTCTGGTTCTTCTTCTCGAAGACGGCCTGCAAGAAGTGTGCGGAAGAAGTGTTTTTTTTTGTTTTTTGTTTATTTTTTCACATTTTTTTGTCAGCTTTGAATTGTCATGAAAATAACAGTAAACAGCTGTTTTGGAAACACCTGCGACGTGTTTTTGCAATGAGTTCATTACTCTTAACATACCTTTATTCGCTGCAATTGTTGCTTATCAGCACTCGCCGCTAATTTCAAGTATTCATTCACGTTATCTGTAAGATATCAAAAAGAAATTTTGAAATAGCATTTTTTTGTTGAAGTTAATAGATAAGAAACGCTTGTTCATTGGTATTTTTATCAATATGTGATAAAAAGAAATATTGGATATTTTTGTAATGCCTTTTCAGTGTTGCAATCATTTATTTTTTTTATAAATTCGTCACTCATTTAGAATTTAGTGCTGCTGAATAAGTCATTATTTTATGAATAACCGGATGAACAATGACGGTGTACCGGCTGAGCTGTTCAAAGCCAGCGACGAATAGCTGTTCGGGCGCATGTACAGAATATTGCTCTAATTGAAGCCGCAGTGTACTTTTCTCAATCCAGGCTTCAGTCAGGTCAGGCAAATCTACTATTGGCCAAATTTTTACAAGTGTGTCAAATCCGGGAATACATGATAGGCCAACAAATGAACATGCACCATCCTTCATGCTTCTACCAGAAGGCTCATTTTGAGAGCGTGACTTAATGTATGCCCCATCTACTTTCTCCGTGTAAAGGAACCACCTATTTTACCATTCACAGCAGAGAAAGCTGTAAATATTCAAGATTTCTTAATCCGTAAAATAGATGATTCAGGGCAGTTGCAAGGGAAGTAAGTACACTCGGGGGTTTGAGAGGGGCAACCGCTATTAGAAAAAAAACTATGACTTTTAATTTTTGAATTTTTGGTGCAAAAATTTAGCTTTTCTCCAGAGCAGGTGAGGTTTTTGCCTAGCATAATTTCCGCAAGACTGTAATTTATCGCAAGAAGGACAGAGAGAACTTCAGGAGCTTAGCTGCGGTGGAAGGCAAGGCACCTTTTCCATTTTTCTTTTGGACGTGTTTTTTTTATAGCGTCCGTCACCATACTGTCAGCGTGTAGACAATACTGGGCTTTATGTCAGCTATTTAAAGCTGATGAGCTATATGTAGCGGGAAGGCCTCTCTCTTGTCCGTACAGATCCAAGTCGATCATAACGGCACACAAAACAATAGTGCGGGCTTTGATGGCGAGAGTGTTGGTTATCACATTTATTACTTCCCGCAATATTGCTGTAGCGGTAAACCAATTGCCAGATCAGTTCGTAGACTCCTACTGGTGCCAGATTATCTAGGGCCCCTCAAGGGAAATCTAGTTCTTCGTCTGAAATCGAAAGCCGCAATCGTGGAAGTACTAAACTTAAGTGTTAATTGACTCCTAAGAATGCCTTTTAAATTATGTCTCCATAATCTAACCGTAGAAAAAGCCCAGGAGGATATTGTAATTAGCCCAAACAGAACGAAATTTTGTGTAATCCACAAGTACTAGGCTATGGCCGTTCAGTTAAAGTGGCATGACTCTCCTCCCTCTCAACTCTTCCGTAAACCCTCGCACGTAGTAGAAATGGGCGCGGGATACCAGAACCAGCGGGACCCATGGGGCTAATTTTAAAATGACTGGGATGGGCCACCAGACAACGAACGAAAATGTCAAACAGAATAACAAATGGTTCACTCACCATCTCTGGCAGTTTGTTCCTTTCGTATGGACTCCTTTGTACATTGGATTTTTGTGTTGAGCCGATCGAGCGCTTGCAAACTGGAGGTACGTTCATGGCGACGATGATGTTTCTTGTTGCCATCAACGCCCACATGAGAGCTATCCTGTTCGTCAGAAGCGAACGACTGATAGCAGAGATCCTCGTTGCCTGTGCAAAGATAAATAAAATGGGAGAAAAATATCAATCAATGATGTTTCACGCTGGTAAAATATAACTATAAAAGTACACCATCCATAGATAAAAAGGAGCGGCTCAAAAATATTTAGCTTTTCTTCAATACACCAACTTTAGCCAACATTTCTAACCCGCTCCTCTGACAAATAATGCATGAAGTTACACAAATTAGAATTTCTTGTTAGTCACACCTGATAGACGTGAGTCCTCGACGCCAACACCACCCATACTCTCCATTGTGCTACCATCACCACTGCCCACAATGAAGCCACCTATGCCGCCGCTCATGCCACTACCACCGCCAACGCCAACACCACCACCGCCGCTAATACCAACGCCCCCACTCATACCGCTCAGCCCACTATAGGCCAATAGACCACCCTGATCAGAGCCGTGGGTGCGTTGGAATTCGCGACGACTGCGTTCGCGACTGCGACGACTGGATGGCGAGTGACTGCGGAAACCGCGGAAGGTGGCAACAGTGGCGCCACTGCTGCCGCTCCCAATACAACCGGTCATCGTGCTGCTGCCGTAACTGCTGATACCGCCCGTCGATGTGGTTGTCGCGAGGGAGGTGCCCGATGCGCCGGCGCCGCCCAGTGTGCCGATCGTGCCTGCGACCGTTGAAGACGTCACTGTTGTTGGTGCTACTCTGTCGACGTGACTCCCCGACTCGGTGCTGTCACCGCGATGATTCCGTTCACGAGACACTGTGGAGAAGGCAGCGGTGATTTGCATTCACACATACACGCGCGCACATGCACGCACGAAATGGAAAACGGCAGCGAGTTGTTGATGAAGACGAGGATGAAGATGACAGGCGAATGCGGTGGAGTGTAACAGAGAGAGTGTGAGAGAGTAGAATTTCAAGTAGTTTCCAATTAACACGTTAACGGAAGCGGGAGTTCGTATGTTGTTGTCGTCGTTTTTTATACGATTATGGTTAGAGTTGATTTGTTTTTATAGTTGTTGTTGATGGCAAATTGAAGAGGGAATGTTGAAATTAGTCTTACAATACATTCGAGTCTTAACTATTTGCTTGTTTATCTTAATTTGAGTCCAGCGTTTATTTGCATAATTGGTTACGAGTCGTTTTGCTCAAGTGACAGCTGATGACAAGTGACAACAACCGGTAAAACAACAATAACAATAATATGCAATACTAACAGCAACTATGACGACGAACAAGCTTGTAGTGGTGGTTTTAGAATGTTTAATATTTAAGAGAGCTATTATGTATGTACTTGTTGTTGTTTGCGTTTGAAGATTTCGGTTTAAGCTCAAATCTCAGCTGAGCTGCTTCTTTTTTCTAGTTTTTGTTGTTGTTGTTGTAACTGTGTGTTGCTGTTATCCTTGCTGCAGCCGATGGCTGTAATAAGCTTTGGCGCTTCGTAGCTAAAAAGCAAGCGAAAAGCGTGCGGGCGGGCGTGCTTGCGTGTGTTTTGCTGTTATTGTCCAATTTGTTTATTTTTATTTTTTTTTAATATTTTTTATTGCGTGAGTGTGCGTGTAAGTGCGTGCTTATGCATGTATTGCAATATTTGGATGTTTTTTTTTTGTTTTGTTTTGTAGCGATTGCACAAAACAATAAACAAAGAGCGGATTAAAATCGAGAACGAGAAGAAGAGGAAGCACAGTGTGTTAAAACTCACAGCAGAGTACATAAAAATTAAAAATTTACAAAAAGTTTCGTACAATTTTTTCAGCGTTGATAAGCAGGAATTATAAACAAAAAACAAAAGCGTAGAGGGTAGTTTGGATAAAAGTGCGTATTATAATTGCTAAAAGCTGTGGAAGGAATAAATGCAGTTTGGTTGTAAAAAAAAATAGTGTAGTTAGCAAGAGATGAGTAACATAAAAAGGATGCCAAAGTATCTACAAACAACAAAATATTTACATATACAGTGACTCAAACAATCGCTCACTTGGTTATTTTTTTTTAAATATTCAAAATAGTTCCAAGTTAAATTTATTTTGTTAGTTTTTTATAAAAATATTGTTAATGCTATAACCAAAATAACTTAAATCAAAGTCAAAAACTTTATACAAAAAAAAAATAACGTGTGTCAAGTTAGCACTACACTTTTCGAATTTGGAAAAGTTAACTACGGCATTAATTGTAGTGTTTTTGTTGTAAATTTGTTGTGGAAAGAAAAAATTTGTAGCTCTCGTTTTT